AAGTGCAGCTTCTCAGTTATATTCTGTAATATGTTCCCTTTTTTCCTAATAGAATGTGTTTGTTATTCTTCTTCTTCTGAGAATGGCTCCTTAATTGATTTTACATCATCAATTAGTGTTATTATGTATAATTAAGGCAATCAATAATGAGATTTTTAAAATCTCATCTTGGCATAGACTTTGTCTCCTTTATCTGCAGTTGTAATTCTAGACTGGTGAAAAGTATGCCAGTAACTACAGGATACCATTTGTCGAATGTTCACTTACTATTAGGTAGTTTGCTCACCACGTTATGTACATATTCTCATTAAATTTTCAGAACAAGTATTTGGCTTTTTTCAAAATGCTGGTGTTTGACATTAGTATCCTCATTTTATACTTAGGAAGTTGAGGCCAGGAAGGGGCAAGCAAATTGCCCAGGGCCGAGCAGCTCCTGTGAGGTTGGAACCCAGGTCTATCTGGTCCCTGCCCCAACCCTCTTCCTGTGTGCTCACTCCCACTGGGCTCACCACATTCTCCGGGGCCTTGGCAGGCTCAGATCTTACCCATCTTGAATAAAGAATCAAGACCCCCCTTGCAGTCAATTCTCTGCCTGAGAAGGAAGTAAAGGGAAGTGGGGTGAGGGCTGGCACAATTTCTACCCCAGCTTGTGGCAGACAGCATGCCTTCAGTCTGAAAGCAGCACCAATGCTCAGTTTCTTTGGAAAAGTCTCTCAAGAGTAATATTGTGCTCAATGTTAAGTACCGTGTTTACTAGTATTTGTTCATGTATGTTTATATCCCCTTAATATGTACCTGCATAATATGTATGTGGTTATATGTGTGTATATAATTATCTAAATGCCTTAAGCATTAATAAAAGTTACTGGGAGTTCGGGAAGTTGTTTAAATCAAGAGAAAGACAATGGTCACTAGAAGAAACAAATCTAAATTTGCTTCCTTTCTCTTCCTCATCATGGGGCAACTATGACTCCTGAAGTTTAGGATACATAATGTTACAATTATTTAATCTTCAATCAGGGGATTCTATAAAGTATGACCACATTAACAAAAAAGCAGTTTGAATTTTAAATTCACAGTGAGATATATCACCAAAAAGAATTCTATGAGTCAAAATAACATACTGTTACTGACTTAACACTCAAGTTTTGTATAGAAGTTACAGTAAAGGCTCTGTTTAATTAGTCCTAAGAGATCCAGACAATAAACTCTTTCTGCAAATGGGGCAATACAGTAATCATTCAAACTCAAATAGTTTTTTAAAAATTTTAATATTATATTCCTTAATAAATCAGATTAAGAATCATTTCCAGCAATACTCCTTCTACAAATATTTAGAAGTACCACCCTGTGCAAGGCACTGGGGAGTTGACAGTAAGCGAGACCAATATCACCACTGCCCACATGGAGCCCAAAGGGGTAAAGAGTAAGGAGGCCCTGTGGCAAGTACCCTGGGAAGGACCTAGAGGTACTATGGGAGCCTGGAGTAGAACATAACTGTGGCAGACTGGGGGTTCAGGAACACTTTCTAAATGAAGTAAAGTATTAGACCTGAGGCTGAGTGGGAATTAGCCAGTTGCAGGCAAGATGAAGAGGGCCACAGAATAGGGATGGAAGTATGAAGATCCCCAGGGCAGCCAGAGGACTGAGCCGGAGTAGTAGTGCTGAGAAGAGGGTGCTAGGAAGTGGGCCACAGAAATGAAGCAGAGAAGGGGTCTGGCCAAGTGTTTAGACTTTATCTTGAGATCATCAGGAACCACGGGAGGGTTTTAAGTTGCAGAAATAATATCAAATCTGTATTTTTGGGTAATACTGGAGTCCAGGACATGCATTAGAAGGCTCTGCAGTAATTCAGATGAGAGGTGATGATGGCCTAAGTGCAGAAAGGGGCAGGGAAGATAGAGAAACTGAATAGATCCTTGAGATACTTAAAAACAGAATTTATAGAACTTTGTGGGCATTTACAAATGGAGAGTGAGAGAGGAGATGAAGATAATGAGGTGCTTGGGTTCCTGATGGGGACGTGGGTTGTCTAATGGTTGGAATCTCAGGAGAAAGAGAGGAGAGGAGAAGGGATAATGGGTGTGGTTTAGTATATGTGGCATTAGAGGAGAAAGGTGTCCAAGTGGAGGTCTCTTGTGAGCAGTTGGATGTATACAACAAGCACTGCAAAGAGAGGTCTAGGCTAGAGATGCTAATCTTGAGGCCATCAAACTATGGAAATAAATAAGATCCTTTAGGAATAATGTGTCCTGTAAGAAGAGTCAAGGGCCTAGAAGCCTGGGGAACATCGACAATTATAGGATGTGCAGAGTAAGCAATGACAGAGAAGGTGCAATCAGAGAGATGCAGGAAGAAAACTGGCAGAGCATGGCACCCTGGAGCATTTTTACATATTCAGTATTTGAAGGAGTGAGTCTCAGCAGTGTCAAATGCTGCCAAGGGTCAAAATAGGAATTGAGAATTTTTCTGTGGATTTGGTAAGTAGCAGCCAGCAGGTGACCCTTACTGGGGCCAATACAGTACAGTATTCAGGGTGGCAGCTGTATTGCAGTGGAGCTAAGGAAAAGCACAGGCAACTCTTTCAAGAAGGTCACTGTGAATGAAGCCAGAGAGGTGGGGTAGTAGCTGTCGGATGACAAGGGGTAATGAGAAGGCTGAGTAGAGAAACACAGTACTTACTGGGCACTGCTGAGCACACAGTCAGAGCCGGCAGCTGGCCCCCTCTGCTCAGTAGTTGGATTTTTCCTTAGCAGGATTCAGCCACTCTGCCATATTTGGACGAGACAGACAAGTAGATTGACCTATCCTTGGATTTTTATCGGTATTTGGAGCAGAGAGAAGACACATGTCCCAAAGTGCTTTTTTTGAGAATCTGATAGGAGAGATCATTTTTTAGTAAGAATGTAAATTCACTCAATTTGGGGTTGGTGGGTGGGTGGGGGGATATTTATTGTAAGATAAAGAGGGATCTCTCATGGATCTAGGTGAAGACCTCACCGAGCCTGGAACTACAAATGTGAAGGTACCAGGAAGCAAGACCGCTATTCCTCATTTCTTATTCTGGGCTACTTTTGTCTTCAGTCATACCTGCTTTATTCTTTCCTCTGCACACAGGCTGTCTTATGAATCAGACCTCAAGTTTACATGGCCAATAAGTTTAAGCACTAATAGAGTTTTTAATAAGCATCTCAGAGGCTCAATTCCAAATTCCCAGAATGGAGAATCTGACTCAGCTTTAGTTAAGCGTCTAATCATCTATGGCCAGGGGGTGGAGTATTGATTTTTAGTACAAATGTAGGCATGGTACAGAGCCTCCTAAATGACAGAAAGAAGAGGATTGCCTGGTTGCACAGAGGTTTTCTGGCATCTCTGCTGCATCCAGACATCTGCTTTGTTGTATTTATCTTATTGGAAATTTCTCTGTTTTAGGCCTACTTGTCAGAGACAAGTTGTGCAGGGCTCCGCTCTATATTAATTGTGGAAGGTTTTACCTTACTGAAATGATAGTTCCCCAGCATTTTATGTTGTTCCAGCATTTATGTTTTAACTGTGATATAAACATGCCTGCAAAATATCAGTTCATGAACCAAACTTACTTTCCCTGACATAGTAACCATTTAACAGCCTCACATATTGCTGCTTCATTATGAGATGAAGTCTGAACACTTTAATGGTGACCAGTTAAAACACACACATGCATACATCAAATCAGGAATTTGATTCCAAATTTACAAAATAATCGGGTCTTATCTTTCGAAATCCTACCTATCAAGACCTAATTTAAATCTTATTCATTCCATAAATTCTTGCCTGTTCTTATCCCCTGAACAGCAGAAAATTATTTTTCTCTGTTTTTATAACTCACTTTGTTTTAACCTACTTACTACATTCTTATTGTAAAATGCAGCACACACGAAGGCACTGAGATGAACGAGCATGTGGCTTTGCCGCTTACTAACAGTTCAACACCATGAAGGTACACAATGCATTTGAGTTTTATCTCTTGTCTGTTAGAGTGGTGATAATGCCTACCTTTCCTGGATGTTAGGAACCAGTGAGTGAATGGATGCAAAGCTATTTGCATGTCAGGAAGCCTATGCACATATTGGTACTTAAGGAACTAGTTTTGGGGTTTGAAGACCAGGTTTCTAAATCCCTGTCTGCCATTTGGTAATTCATGGTCTGGCAGTGGGTGAATTACTGTTCTTCCTTGGGCATGTTGTGTGTGGTGTGTTAGTTTTCTTTCATTGTTATGACAAATTATCACAAACAGAGTGACTTAATACAAATTAATATCTTACAGTTCTGTAGGTCACAGCTAGAGTGGGCCTGTTTGGTTTCTCTGCACTGAATGTCATAAGGCCAAAAATGAGCTGCCGGCTGGCCCAGGTTCTTATCTGGCTCCAGGGGAGAATCTGTTTTACAAGTTCATTCAGGTTGTTGGCAAAATGCAGTTCCTTGTCAACTGTAGGACTAAGGTCCCCATTTCCTCGCTGTCAGCCAGGAGACTCTCTGTTTCTGAAGACCAGCTGCATTCTTCCTCATATTGTTCCCTCCATTTTCTTTTCATTCATTCAGACAAGTAAAACGTGTATAAATTTATGATGTACACATTTTGAAATATGTATCCATTGTGGAATGCTAACTTCAGCTAATCACCGTATCTGTTACCTCACCTACTTATTATTTATTGTATGGGGAGCCCTTAAAATGTACTTTCCTAGCAGTTTTCAATACAGTGTTCTTAACTATAGTCACCATGTTGTACTACTCTCTTAAAAATATGGAATGTAGCCTGGCCAACATGGCAAAACCCCATCTCTATTAAAAATACAAAAATTGGCCAGACATGGTGGTGTGTACCTGAAATCACAGCTTCTTGGGAAGATAAGGCAGGAGAATGGCCTAAACCCAGGAGACAGAGGTTGCAATGAGCCAAGATCGAGCCACTGCACTCCACCTTGTGTGACAGAGCGAGACCCTGTCTCTCACTATATATATATTTGGAATGTTTCATGAATTTGCATGTGAACCTTGCAGAGGGGCCATGCTAATCTTCTCCGTGTTTTTTCAGTGTTCATACATGTTGCCAAAGCAAGAACTGAACAGTCCCTCCTTTTTCAAACCAGCAACTTCACATGGAGTTCTGTTCAGCTGAATCTCTGATTTTCTCTTCTGCTGCATGTCTTCTGCCCCAAGCTAAAGAATGTTCTTTGCATTTAAGGGCTCGCTTATTAAATTTGCCCCACCTGGGTAATCCAGGTTGATCTTTATTTTAAGGTCAACTTAATTGTTCTTAAGTAACTTTCATCTTACCTGCCAACTCCCTTTGCCATGTAAAATAATATATGCACATGTCTGGAGATTACTGCATGGCCATATTTGGGGTAGGGTGGTTGTTCACTCTGCTTACCACTTTTGGTACTATGTATGAGTACAGTATGTGAGGGTAAGCATAGTCACTTGCATACATAAAGCTAGTCAGCTGTGAGTGGTAAATCATGTGGTCTTGATATGGTTAGCCTCTGTGTCCTCACCCAAATCTCGGTTAGAATTGTAATCCTCGTAATTCCCACAATCCCCATGTGTAGAGAGAGAGAACAGGTGGAGGTAATTGAATCATGGCGGCAGATTTCCCCATGCTGTTCTCATGATAGTGGGTTCTTACAAGATCTGATGGTTTTACAAGGGACTCTTCCCCTCTCACTCGGCACTTCTTCATGCTGCCTTGTGAAGAAGGTGCCTTGCTTCCCCTTTACCTTCTGCCATGATTGTAGGTTTTCTGAGGCCTCCCCAGCCATGCTGAACTGTGAGTCAATGAGATCTCTTTGCTTTATAAATTGCCCCATCTCCAGCAGTTGTTTATAGCAGTATGAAAACAGATGAATACAGGTGTAAGTTAAGTGGATGCACTTTGGTCAAGAGTATGCTGAGGCAGACATCTGAGTCTGCATGACTCAGTGAATTTAGAGACAGGCACATACTCCACTTGTTATATAACCTGTTTGTGTAAATTCATACTTGGTTTGGGCCACTATTGTCTGTAAAAGATATAACTGCCCTGCTGATGCTGTACCGGTGCTCATGCCCAGAGAAACAGCGGGGAGCCAGGACACAGCTCGGCCCACTCATGCCCAGAGAGAAAGAGTTAAACTGCTCATCCTGAAGGCAGGTAGAGCTGGCCACACAGGTAAGTGTGGGAGCAGCTGGCTCAAGCAGCTGAGATAGAGCAGACAGTGTAAGAGAGCTGCTGATGAGAAAGCTGCTGAATAAAGCTGTATTTCACCTTCCTACGATCCCCTGAGTGTTCTTTCAGCTATTTGCCATTCATCCACCCACTCCCCTCAGAGCTCAGCATGGGCTAGAACTTGAACCTGGACCTAACAACAGGCCTGTTGCTATGATTTATGTTCAACAAACATAAACTGTTTCCCAAGAAATATTTTGTGCCTCGGGTTACTGGTAAGAGTAACCTAAATCAAAATAAGCTAGGTTGATAGTTATACAGTAGTTCCTTTGTATAGCAACTCTTAGTTTATGCAAATAAACAGATAAGGCAAGCAAACATGCTGTATCTACATGTAAGGATTATTGATAAATAAAAAGTGTATTCTATTCTTTCTTAGGACTTTCGTTGAGGCCTTTGATAAACTACCTTTATTTCAATTCCATTATTGTTCCTATTTTTAAAATAAATATTCCAGGTTCAATAGGGGTATTTAAAGTGCCCAATGTTGTAAGACTACTGAAAAACATTTTGTTCTTGTTGTTGTTGTTTTTGAGAAGGAGTCTTGCTCTGTCACCAAGGCTGGAATGCAGTGGCGCAATCTTGGCTTACTGTAACTCGCCTCCTGGGTTCAAGCGATTCTCCTGCCTCAGCCTTCCATGTAGCTGGGATTATAGGTGCATGCCACCACATCTGGCTGATTTTTATATTTTTAGTAGAGATGGGGCTTCACCATGTTGGCCAGGCTGTTCTTGAACTTCTGACCTCGAGTTCAAGACCTCGAGATCTGTTCACCTTGGCCTCCCAAAGTGCTGGGGTTACAGGTGTGAGCCACCATGTTCAGACAGACTACTGAAAATCTTGAACGAAAAATAATTCTAATCTGTGTTTATTCTCCCTGTATCTTAGCAGGTATAGTGTAAAAGGAGCAAAAACTCTGGAGCCAGACTCCCTGAATTTGATTTCTGTCTCTGACATTTATGTGTCCAGTGATCTTGGGCAAGTGACTTAACCTCACTGTACCTCAGTTTTGTCATCTGTTAAATGAAGGTAAAAATAGACCCAACTTTGTGGAGTTATTATTGAGGATTAAATTAAATGTGTTGATATATGTAAAGTGCCTGTAACTATAACTAGTACATAGTGCTCTGTGAATCCTAGGAGTATTATTCTAATCAAACAATATGCTTTAACCATTGTCTCAACTAAGGCTATTTTGTTCCCCAGAGTACATTTGCCAGTGTTTGGAAATAAGGGTTGTCACATCTGGAGGGTAAGATACAGACATCTAGTGTTTCCAGGCCAGGGATACTGCTCAGCGTCCAATAATGCACAGGGCTGCCCGCCCCAACCCCCAAACACAGACTTATCCAGCCTGAATGCTGGTAGTGTCAAGATTAAAAACCCCTGTTTTAAACTAGTGGTCTTTTATGTTTTTAGTAACAACTTCATTTGAAAATAAAATACTCATGTATCATGAGTGACTTTTATCAATGAGGATATTCATGACAGAGCCATAGGGCTCCAAGTTCTACAATAAAGTGAAAAGTAGAAAAATTTTCTGGTGATTTAAAAAAAATAGCTATCATAGGAAAAGAATGTGCTCAACTTCTAGAATATATAATTAAAGATAAGAAATACTCAGAAATACTCAGGTCCTGTGAATCATTGAATGGGATTTCTCATTTTCTAATTTCCCAGTAAGGTTCTTCTGGAGATTATAAGGAAAGAAATTAAAGTTGACCCTTGAACAATGCAGGGATTGGGGCCCCAACCCTTCATGCAGATGAAACCATGCATATAACTTTCAATTCCCCCCAGACTTAACTACTCTTAGCCTACTGCTGACCAGAAGTCTTACTGACTAAACATAAACAGTCAGTTAACGAATATTTTGTATGTTATATGTATGGTATACTGTATTGTTACTACAAAGTAAGCTATAGAAAAGAAAATGTTATTAAGAAAATTATGAGAAAAGAGATTTACTGTTCGTCAGATGGAAGTGAGTCATCATAAAGGTCTTGATTCCTTATTGTCTTCATGTTGAATAGGCGGAGGAGGAGGAAGAGGAGAGGTGTTCTTGCTGTCTCAAGCAGAGGTGGAAGAAAATCTAAGTATAAGCTGTACTTGGATTTGGAAACGACTCTTACTATGTATGTTGAAATACAGTGAGCATTAAGATAACTGTGCATTATAGTTGCTCATGTAGAATTTACCTATATTGTAGTAGCGGTAAATTTTGCAAGGCCCAAAATTTTTTTTGCCACTGTCATTTTTATTTCTGAATATTATATAAAGCTTACGTGTTTGCCCTCTTCACTCCTTCTCATCCCATAGGCATGTTGAATAATTTAGAATTTAGGGTATCCTTCAACTACTTATTTCTCCACTACCTCTCCTATCAATTGTAGCTGTTTGATTTGTCTATACAATACTCTGTAGGACTCTCTGAGATGCTATTCATTCTCCTGGCTACAGAATTTGTCCTTTTGATGATAGATCAGTTAATCATGAACACCTGCATTAGCATAGGGTGCAGAAGCTAATTAGACTGACTTCCTGGATTGGGTAGGAAAGAACCTGGGCACGATCCTATACCTTCCACTGTCTTCACCTACTTGGAGAAACTTAGAGTCGCAAGACACAAACAAAAATAACCTGCGATTGTTCATCATTAAGATTAAGAAGAACACTGACAGAGACGGATCCAAGATGGCCAATTACAAACAGCTCAGGATTGCAATTCCCAGTGAAAGCTCAGAGGGTGAGTGGACGCCACATTTCCAGACGGATTTTTATTGCCCACAGACCAGGAGATTCCCAGGTGGAGAAGCCCCATGGGTCACCAGTGCAGCTGTTTTGGCCGGCACAGCTGTTTTCAGCAGCGCCCCAGCACAACAGTTCTCCATACAAAATACACGAGTCCAGGCACCATTTTAGCTGGTGATTGGAGCTGCAAAAAGACAGAGTCACCCATTCAACTGATAGAAAAAAGTACTGAAACAGGGAGCCAGGCCACGAGATTCCCAGGCAAAAAAGCACCCAGAATCTCAGCACAGCTGTTTCAGCCGGCGCAGTAGGTCACCACATGGGAAATCACACAGATCCTGGTGCCTTTTCAACAGGTGACTGGAACACCAAGGAGACAGTCAACCGTTCAATTTAAAAAAAAAAAGGCTCTGAGGCAGGGAGCCAGATGATCAGGCTCAGCTGGTCCCACCCCCACAAAAAAACATCAATCTGAAATGCTTTGGATTGAGAGTTTCACAGCAAGCACAGCTGATCCCAGGATGGTCTAGCTCTGTGGGGGAGGGGCATGAACCATTATTGAGGCACTCCACCACTACGGAAGTAGTTCACCATTGCTGAGGCAGCCTGCCATTGCCCAAGCAGCCTACCATTGCAGGGACAGTCTGCCATTACAGAGGTTGGCCGCCACTGCTGAGGCAGTTCTAACTATATCCACATAAACAGGACTGCAGGGAAGTTCACACGGCAGCTGAGCAGAGCCCACACCAGCTCAGCAAAGCCTCTGCAGCAGACAGTGAATAGGCTGCCTCCTTGCTGGGCAGGGCAGCCCTGAAAAAATGCAGCAGCAAAACAGAAACTCATAAATAAAGCCCTAACTCCCTGGGACAGAGCACCTGGGGGAAAAAAGGGGGGATTAATGAGTTCTGCTGCAGCAGACTTAAACATACCAGCCCAGCAGCTTTGAATGAACAACAGAGCTCACAGCTCAGCACTTGAGCTCCTATAAAAGACAGACTGTCTCCTCAAGCAGCTCCCTGACCCCGGTATATCCGAAGAGTCACCTCATAAAGGAGAGCTCAGACTGACATCAGGCGGATATCCTTCAGGGACCAAGATAGC